TAAATATAACATTAATGCCATACAGTTATATGCCATTCAAACAAAGTGGCCAAAGAAGTATGACTGGTGATGCTGTGGGTGTGTTTATCTGGGTTTTTTTCATACTCTATGTTCAACTGTACTGCTAGCTTGCTTTTTGTATACAGTGATGAACTTAACAACAACAATTGTTGTCTATAATGCTATTGTCATTTCAACCTTGTTATATGGCTATAAAACCTGGACTCTATATTGGTGTGACATCCCAAAATCAAACACTTTCACCAGCAAAAGTGTTGTTCAATCCTGTACATCAAAAGGAATTATTATTATGTGACCAACAAAAAAGTCAGAGAAAAAGCCAACAGACAAAACATCGAATTGCTGATCATGAATCACTGTCTTTGATGGTCAGGATATGTGGCAAGAATGGAAGAGTCAAGATTTCCAGATCAAGTCTTATTTAACATTCTTACTATTTAAAGATACAAGAACCAAGATACAAGAACCAAGATACAAGAACCAGCTCAAACAACACTGAAAGCCACTGGAGTGCAAATCATTTGAAACACAAGCCTGAGACTGTACCAACTCATGATATTTCATCATCATTGGAAGCAAAACTTTGAAGCCACCAGAAGATTAAAGGAAGAAGACAATGACGGTAATGCTTTCACATGCTGTTCACATTCATCTATCTATCTACCTATCTATTTCAGTCTCTTCATATCTATCTCATTCTTTTTACATCTATCTATCACTGTTCACCTGTATCTATCGCACTCTGTTCATATCTATCTATCTATCTATCATAGTATGTTCATATCTATCTATCTATCAGTTCTTCATCTATCTATTTATCAGTTTATTATTATCCCAACAAAGTCAACTTTGAAAATATGAAACCAATAATAGAGCAATCAATGTGAATATAGGAGAACATCCAAACCAGATTATTTTTGAAACATTTTTGTGATAATGTTTGAAACATGTGAACTCTCAATGACAATACCCAAATAAATTATTGATTACCTAAAAGCATATTTGCCAGATTTAACTCCATAAATGCATTTGTAATATTATAAGGAATTGTTGAAGAGAGTTTTCAGACAATTACAGGAGATTTATAAGAGTTTATGTTTGTGAGTCATATCAGTGATATTTTCTGAAATTACAATGTCCTTAAAAACCAGAATAACAGTTTTCTGATCAAAGATCTCTTTAATTTTGGATAAAGCTTTAGAAATAGATTTTATTTTATTTCATATCCCAAACTGCCAAAAAATATCATTACCATGTTGATAAGGCCTAGAATATGCTAACTGCATTTCCTGCAGTGCGGTAAGAACCCTGTCCCCCAAAAGGGTTTACTTACCAAGTAAATGCTTATAGACTTAAATATAAACAACCAATATTTGCCTATCCCTAAAGTAAGTAAATGTTTTTACTCAAATATACATTATCAATATCTAAACCAGTAAATCACTGCTTTTAAACTCAAATATAATAAACAAAAAAGATTGATTTTGACATTAAATAATTCACAAGGAAGGGTTGACATTTTGTTTTCAAAATAATGTTCACTCTGTACAAAGCCCAAGAGCTACTCATCGTAGAGAGTTGCTTGGGCATACAGAACATTCAGACAATTTCTACATAATTAATGTCCAGAAAAGAAAAATTTATAAGAACACAAGAAAAATTAAATAAAAAAACTTAACCACAGTACCTTCCATGTGAGTCGATTTTAATAAAGCTTGTATAAAAGAAGGACTGCTGTCCAAATACAAAATTATATATATATGTGTGTGTGTGTGTGTGTGTTTGTGTGTGCGTGTTTTTTGAATGAGAGGAATATTATATACAAAGTGGAACTGAAAAGTTCTTAACTGACCAAGACAGTCATTACCAGAAAAAGATTCAATGTTTGGTCATTAGATCAGATTTTGTGAATTGATTCAGGCTGAGAAATTAACAGCACACCTTCTGATATATAGTAAGAGGCACAGTTTATAGAGGTATAAGGGGAAGATAATAGTTAACCCTAGACTTGAACAGGAGAGAATCCTCTTGGGAGTTGGTTCCATAAATTAGTGATTTGTTGTAAGAAGTGAGTGAAACTTACATCTCACCATTACAATACAAAGGATATGAGGGTGGTTTGCTATAATGTGCATGGTATTGAGGGTGGTTCTTAGCTATAAATGTTAGAAATGGTGAAATTAAGGAATGTAGCTTGTCTGAACACTTTCCATGGAAATATCGATAGAGCAGCAAGAGGCTTGGGATTGTAAGGTGGAAAATAATTCATCACTCCCAAGGCTGCATAGACCCTTTTGACCTCCGTTGTGACTGGAAAGTGAAGAGTGGGCAGCTCCTGCCTATTGAATAACCAGATTAGTGCTTAGCTGTATTGTAAGCTCTTTGGTCTCATCAGAGATTAGAACAACTGGTATATGTAGCAAGCTGGAATGTTCTATTCTGTCACTTAGGCAATCTCTGATTGGCTGCTTGTTCTAGTGTGCATATTGTGATAGATAAATATCCATCATTCACCATTATGCTTGCTTGAGTACAGAACTGGGTTGAATTACAGCTCACCCCGTCTGACAACTGGATGCTAGTTTGGAACCTTCTTGTGAAGGTGAGTATCGCATTGACTCTACACCATCCATATATAGCAGTAGAACTCCATTTTTGGTTCTGATCTGGTTCTTGTAAAGGTACAAAGTAGAAGTCCAAGACTTACTGGTGCAATACAGGGAACTAGCCATTTTGTCAGTATCTTTAGCAATGAATCATATGTACATGTTCCAATTGAGGGCTGGGTTAAGCTGAAGGCCTAAGATGCACTCAAGGCAGGGTTTTCAAGGCATTAAATTTGAGCAGTCAATTTTTCTCTTATAGTGGGAAAGTAACTAAAGTCAAGATGCCAGATCAGGATTGGTTGTATTACGGATTCTTCTTTGGATTTTGTCCAGAATCTCGAGATATATGGTAAGAGCACTTCACCACATATGAGAGCAATATTCAATACACAGATGAATGGTAGATTTATAAATGTACAAGGTAGAGAAAAAGTATCTGGCAAAACACAGTGAATGAACCCTCCTAGCAGCAGACCTAGCAATTGATTCAATACCTCACTCCCCCCTTCATGTCAGTTAAAAATGTGATCCCAGGAATGTGCAAAGTGTTGCTCTGCTAGAGGTTAGCATCAGCCATGCTGATGGAAGGCAAAATGGGCTCTCTATGATGATTAAAAGATAGCAGTTTCATTTTTGAGGAATTCAAATTTACAAGTCATTTCTTGCCCCAGTTAACAACTGATTGGAAGTCATTTTCAAGATCAGCTACCAGTTTTAGTTTGTTGTACTTATCAGACTTGCTTAGTAAAACAGGATCAAATAATTGTATCATCAGTACAAATACCTAGTTGGGAAGTGATGATATCGGAAAGGTCATTGATGAAGATAAAAAACAAAGTAGATCCAAGGATAGAACCCTAGGGAAATGATCTAGAAGTATGACTGTTCAACATGACCATCATTAAATATTTCAGACAATATGTGTTAGTATTGGATAATTCTTGGACTGTATATATGAACTGTTATTTTATTATACAGCTGAAATATACATATAGCTAATACTCATTAGCATCCAGCCTAATTTTTTCTTTTGTTTTGAGTTCATCCCATGCAAGGCAATAAAGCTACTGAAACACAAAGAGTCATAGAGTGTGGAAAGTTTAGAAACAGAAACATTGATATGAGCGAGAACAAAAGAAGAGTTATCAGGAGAGCAGTTGATAGCGATTGACATTGCATTTAAATTTTTGCATATTAAAGTTGGCTGGAAAGCATGGAGCCACAAGGGATTTCTGCAAATGAGAAGTGAAAGAAAAGAAACTGTTAGGATAAAAGTTACAATTACATCTAGCCAAATCAACGGTAAATTGGTGAGAATTCATCGTCTGTCTATTACTGTACTTAAATTCAAAGTGTCTAGGCACCACAGTGCTCATCTGAACAATTACTATGAAAGTATTTATAGAAAAAGTAATAGGAGTGGGAAAGTGATAGAAGCTGAGATGCCAGATCAGGAGCAATAATATTGCTGATTCTTCTTTGGATTTTATCAAGGAACTGTAGATAAATAACAGAAGCACCAAACCATATGTGGCAGGAATATTCTAAGCCTGGATGAATGGTAGACAGAATCACTCTGCAAATAAGATCCTTGCTATTTACTTGCGTTCATTTATTGTATGAGATTTTCTGTGTTGGAATGGCTCTGCAATCTTTACAAAGACTAACAAATTTGGAAAAAGCTGGCAAAAGCATGAAGCTTGGCAAATCTGATCTTGAGACCCTGAAGATACTTTGTTGGGTTTTACATGCATTTGGCTTTTTTGATCCTGATTTTACTTGTTCTGCCTGATTAAATGCAAACAGAAAAAATAGGAATATTTCAGAAATAAGCATTGACCTTTGGTTAATAGTAAAGTTCAAAATGTCAAAATGTCATTTTCAATGCTTCTAAGAGATAATGTTTTTAACATTCTGTTATGTTGAACTTTAATGCTAAACAGAGGTCAGTGCTTATTTTTGCATCTCAATTTTGCCAGAATAAGTGGCATTACTAAGACTGAATACAAGCAGCTCCTGAAGGAGTACATGAAAAATGCTGAACTCTGAAGTGTTCAAATGTTATGAATATAAAAACAACCAAGATGAGAACAATAGTCCAAAATGAATTAATATACAAAGATAGCTCTATATCTCAAGATTACCGACAGAAATTTTTATTTATTGTTACTCATGTAATGTATTGTTTATTTGAAAGATTTTCATTATTTCTTTACACAAATTAAACATATTTTCATTGGTACACAGTTAATTCTAAAGTGATAAGGTTTTGAGTCAGCTAGATATAAACAGATTGAGATATATATATATATATATATATATAGATAGATAGATAGATAGATATGAACAGACAGATCTATGAAGGTAGATAGATCAATATGAACAGACTGAGATAGATATAAACAGAATGTGATAGATAAATAGATAGATATAAACAGACAGGTAGAGATAGATATGAACAGACATAGATAGATAGATAGATAGATAGATAGATAGATAGATAGATAGATAGATATGAACCGATCGAGAAAGATAAATAGATAGATATAAATAGGTTGAGATAGTTATGAACCGATTGAGATAGATAAATAGATATAAACAGACTGAGATATATATGAAGAGGCTGAGATTGATAGATATAGAGATTGAGATAGATAGATAGATAGATAGATAGATATGAAAAGGCTGAGATTGATAGATATGAAGAGGCTGAGATAGATATGAACAGGCTGAGATAGAGAGAGATAGAAATGAATAGACTGAGAAAGATAGATATGAATAGAGATAGATAGAAACAGATAAATTGATAAATCAATAAATAGATGTGATCAGAGATAAATAGATATGAACATAGACAAATAGATATGAAAACTGTGAAATTGATAGTTAGGTAGGCTGGGACCAAGAGATAGACAAACACACTTCCACTGATAATAACCTCACTTGAAAAAAGATAAGATTTTGTGATATGGCCAATGATTTATATAAACTTCTGCAATATTTCCAAATACCTAATGACATATCACTTCAGTAACAACAACTACATGTTATCAAAATGTTATCTTTTTAATGAAACTGCTAAAGCAATTTGGGGAAAAAATGCATTGCTTCTAAAAATAAATTCTAACTAAATAAATGGCTCTGTGCCAGTTCCTCCAGATCAAAGCCACCCATAGAAATTCCTTTTGCTGTTTGATGTTGAATTCTTAGTAACATGAAACCACTGTCCATCTTGGTGCTTTGCAGACCTGTGCCCAAATTAATTCCAATCATTTTCCTTCTCCATCTTACCCAGAGACATTTGAGTTCTTTCTTTAATAGACACCACATTTCTGAATGCACAAAGAATCCTTGTTACCAGGAAATTACCCTCACCCCTATCTTGAAAATGACTAAAGTTAATAATGAAACCACTTGGGACAATAAACACTATGGACAGCTCCCCTACACACTTTGTCCACGTAAAAGAAAAATTGTAAGGATACAAGAAAAACTGAACAAAAAGTTTACAAAATATTCCTTGTCCATCATATTCAAAGAAACATACAAAACATATTTAACAAACTTAGAGCTGATAAAAAAGAAAACAAAGTGTCAAAAGATAGTTTCCTCTTGATGCTACTAATTTTAACTACCTTCACTCCTCAGCAATATTTGTTGCTTTAAAAAGTGATAATTAGAATTGTAATAAAATCTAAACATGCAATGAAAGTGTATTTATACATTTTGTGTTTGAGAATTAACAAAAATATTAAATACTATTTATTTATTAGATTGTTGATTTTCATGAATAATTTTATCTTTACAACTTTCTAAAAACTAAAACAATTGAATTAAAACTGATGCAATGCCATATAAAGAAATAAATCTAAAAACAAATTTTTATTCATAAATTTAAAAACATTTAATAAATTATTGAAATATGTGACAAAAAATAAAGAAAAAATAAGGAGAACTGTATTTACCATTTTATAAAGTTTGAATCAATTGGCAATTAGCCAATATTTTGCCAACCATTCCAATAAACAATTCAAGAAATGAATAGTGTAAATAAACAATTTAATAAATAGTGTTTATTATTTTTATTGCCAATTCTCAAGATCAAAGAAAATGTATAAATTCACCTTCATATGTTTAGATTTTATTACAATTTTAATCATCAAAAATAAACATTGCTGAGGTGTGAAGGTAGTTAAAATAATAATAGTGTCAAGGGAAAAAAAATTCTGTTGACAAAATTTTGTAAAAATAAAAGGTCCAAATTTGCCTGCATTTTTATATGTCAAAGCATCATTGGAAAATCTATGACAAAGTAGAAAAAATATGTCACATAAAAAATGTTTTCCACTTATTCATATATATACATATGTATAAAATTTATAAATTTTACACACACACACACACACACAACACACACATATATATATATATATATATATATATAATGTTTTTCATCATGTTTTTTCATCTAGGCTTTATTCACTTTTGAAAACATTGTTGAAGAGTGAACATATTTAGAAAAGCAGTGTCATGTGAAAAACCGTCATTTTGACACTCCGACTTATTGTGGACATGAAGGCCCAACTTTGGCACAAATTTTATGTACATTATCCTACTTTCCGTATTGATTATTCATTGATTATGATTAATTATTATTGATTATTGATTGATTATTGGCCCAAGCACTTTCAAGAGCTTTGTTGTTAAGATCTTTTTGATGTTTGTGTTCTGAGGTGTATTTGTGTGGAAGTACTAGAAATTCTAAGATATGTGAGAGAAATGTGATGGTGTTTCCATTTAGGGTGTCTTTTAAAAGACCACCAGCATATTACTGACATTGTTGAATAAGGTAAAGCCAATTCTTAGCTTGATTGGCTTTATATAAAGAGTCTCTATAATCTTCAGATGTCATTGACATTTAGATTTATTTAGAATGATGGTGTTATCAACAAGAATTTTTCTAATGGGAGCAGGGAGTTTTTTGAGGGTATCCAGTTGCTTTTTCATGACACTGAGATCACTTAAGTGGTTTGTCATTCTTCTGCTGATTGCTGTTGGCATATAAGCAATATAGATAATTGGTTTATGACAAGAGACACAGTCATGTACTGAGCAACTGAATTGATATACTACATTAGTCATTTTTATATTAGATTTGATAGATGTGCTCTCTCTTAGTCCCCAAAAGAAAAAATGCAAGAACATTGGAAAAAATTTAATAAAAAAATTTTGAGATGTTCCTTGTCTGTCATATTCAATGAATCATGTAGAAAAGAAAGGTTGCTGCTCAAATATGCAATATCTATGACAAAAGTTGGATAATTTTATTTTCCTGATGAGTGGACTAAAGTCCACTCATCAGAGTTTTCACCAAATTACAGAAAAGGCTTGTCTATGAAACTCTGAAGTTGAGGCACTGAATATAATGTCAATCAGCTAAGTGACAAATTTTGTATTTGTATTAATATATTGTATTAATATATATATATATATATATATATATATATATATATATATATAAAGATAAAAAAAAACTGTATTATTAGTTGACGATTTAGTCCAATGTGTACTTTTTCAAGGCAAAAACAAAATGAATGTATTAAAACATAAAAACACTATTTATATTATGAATACAATAGCGTTTTTTAAATTCTTCTAGTTGCTAAGGACATTTTGTTTTGTTGTTAATAGTTACATTGTTTTAATAAATTCATTTCGTTATTGCCTTGAAAAAGTTCACATTGGATGAAATGTATCGGCTAATAATACAGTTTTCCTATTGTCTTTTATTCTATACATATTGTCTTTTTCTACAGGTTAACAGAGAAATTTTTCATATATATTTGTATTAATATATATATATATATTTGTAATATATATATATATATATTATATATATATACATTTTTGGTTGGATAGATGTGAGTTTGTTTTCCCTGGGTTTCACGCTTTAGCTTTATCATGACAAAAAGAAACCCTTAGCTCTATCTCTGATATTGAGCACAATTCTAATAATATAATGATTTATAATATATAAATATATATTTATATATAATATATAAATATATACATATATTTATTTATTTCATTTATATACACACACATATATATAAGATATATATAATATATAAATATATACATATATTTATTTATATTTATATATTTACACTTTTCATACACATATATATATATATGTATATATATATGATATTTAAATTTCTAGAAATGACAAAGTTGGAAAAAGATTCTTTGAAATGCATTCTGTCCTCTAGAAACCTTCATTGGATTAAAGTTTATATTTTTGCTGATGGAATTATATATATATATATATATGTGTGTGTGTGTGTGTGAGTGTGTGTGTGTGTAGGAGTTGTATATGGTAAAATTATACATCAACAGGGAATGTTGAAAATGTTGGAATGCTAAAAAGTTTAAATTTAAATTTTTTTCAGACATATTTGGGCATATGTAGCATTGCCAATTTCATTCAGTTTCCTTTGCTTTTGTTTTCATAACTTTTATTATCATTATATTCAGGTTAAAACAATTCTTATGGTCAGTGTTGAGTTACTTGTTATTTATAGTATTTATATTATAATGCTTTGCAAATAAACAAATAATTACTCTCTAATTAGGCAACTTCCAACTACAATTAAAAGTTAGCTTTCATTGTACTTCTCCTAATCCCATACCAGCAGGAGTCTGATGTTAAATCATTTTTTGAACAGACATGTTTAAAATTTAACATTTTTTGTAATAAAGCATGGAAATATTCATGATAGAAAAGGAAAGAAAAAAATTAATAATTTTCACAGAAAATAATGATATGCATGAAATTAGAGATTTATTTCATGAAAAAAAATGATTTCTATACAAAATAATGTAATAGAAACATTTTTTGGTTGATTGATTAATTAATGATTGTTTAATGGTATATCAACTCCATATGCGTCATTTAATGTTTAAATTTAATTTTCTTGGGAGCTTTGAAGTAATAAAAATTTGATATATGTTATTCTGCTTTCACAATTGAATACATGGTAGATGATACTCAGCTTTTGTGCATATACATCTTTGTGTGGACATAATTACTAGAGGCGGTGATATGTGTGTTTTATGCTGTAGTTTTGTTGAATTTATATTTTGGAATACTGTTTGATTTTTTTAAGAAATTGTAGGATATTATATGGATTAGGATATTATATGGATTAATGTCATAAAATAGTTCTTTCCTATTGGTTGTTTGATTTTGTTTAGTGGCATATTAACACCTCAATGGATTATTTAATGCCGGAATCTAAGTATTTTGGACACAATTTTATGGTTTCAACTAAATATATTTTGAACATCATTGTAGACCTTTAGTTACAGATAAAATATATTGTTGATCATTTTGCTAAAAATGTACTGTTGCTAATTTTACTATAAATAGATATTGTTGCTAATTTTTTTAAATATAAAAATGTATTTCTGTTATTTTTATTATAAAAATTTATTTTTATACTTTCATAGTATTTTGTTTTTGTTTGTAATAGGCTCACTATTTGTCCATAGCTGGGACCCTAACAGCTACTACCACCCTGGGGTAGAGTGGACCTAGGAACAACAGCAATTAAGAGGTGGTTCTATGCTCCTCAAAATCTCCAATCTCTCAATCAGAGATCTTGTTGCCAGATGTATAATATATTTCGATAAAATAAAGTGATCATTATTTCACACTTACCATTATTTTAATGCAAAAATTAGAAAATCTTTCTTA